GCTCCCACTGGTGAGGGGGGGAAATCCAACATTAGAAATTACATGTGGTCATTTTTTGCTCTGTAAATAAATACCCGAGCAATGCTGGCTAGTCTTACAATAAAGGTACTTTTAGTACTCATGTCTTCAAAGATTCTCAATCATCCAAGTCATGTTTGTCCCCAAAAGTTCTTTTCCAAAAGGCAACCAGACTTGGGTGTTTGTTTTCCCTTGAAAATGTTTCAGTTCTCATCCAAGAAATGAAGACTGAAGACTGTTTCTTGAATGAGAAGTGGAAGTTTTTCAAGGAAAAAGCCCAGCCCAGTTGCCTTTTTGGAAAAGCACCTTTAGTACTCATGGTTTATTCTTCTTGTCTGGACTTTCCCCAAAGGGCTGACATCGCATCTGCCTCTAGAGTAGGTGCTCCGCAGTAGTTCCTTTGAGCATGCTCTGAGTCTCTGATTCAGGGTGCATTTTCCTCCCCCAAATAAGGTATCTAGGACAAGATCTTCATGATGCCAATCCAGAGGGTTCTTTTCTCCAGCAGCTACTGGCTTCCTTTAACTTGGGGGTGTCAAACTTGATTTCATTGAGGGCCACATCAGGGTTGTTTTTGATCTTGGGCGGCTGGGGTGGGCATGGCCAGCTTGACATCACTCGTGTCGGGGGTGCCTATGGTGGCCCAAGTGCTCTGCCAGCGAAAACATGCTCCCAAGCTCCGTTTTCATCTGTGATGGGCTCTTGCAGGCCTCTGTCAGCGAAAATGGAGCTCGGGAGGGCCGCATACCTAAGCTCCGTTTTCACTGGCAGAGGGTTGCAGAAGGCCGTGGCAGCCGAAAATGGAGCTTGCGAGCCTGGCTTCACTGGCAGAGGCACTGCGGGGCGGTCCTTCGCTGTTTCCAGGGCAGTCCCGCAGGCCAGATCTAAACATTCTGCAGGTCTTGAGTTTGACACCCCTGCTTTAACTTACAGCCAGTGACTTGTATTTGATGCATCAGCTTCCTGGCCGTTAAATATAAAGTTATGAAGGATCTTGCTGAAGTATCAAGCACGCCCTTTCTCTTACAGGTATGGCATTAAAGGAGCTGCCTACCTGAGGAGCAAGGAAGGGTTGGTCCTCTCCTGTCCAACCGATGGGAACTATGAATGGCAACCTGGTTCTTTGCAGCGCTTCCCCAGCAAAATTATCGCCACTCCCACTGTCGGAAAGCCTGTGACTTTGAATCTCTTTGATCATGTGACCGTAAGTGATGCATCTTTACGACAGGGTCCCCAACCGGCAACAGTCCGCGGCCCATCAGGAACCGGGCTGTGCAAGTGAGGCCCCATTTGCACATGTGCAAGATCCAGGCAGTGCATGAAACCACACCCCTCCCTGGTCTGTGGGAAAATCTCCCTCCACAGAAACTGCTCCCGGGTGCTCAAAAGCTTGGGGGCCACTGCTTTACTACACACACCATTAAGAGTGGCAGCTGCCACCTTATGCTATTGTGCTCACTATTTGATGACAGACTGCCAGGCACAGTAGGGGGTAGGGGAAAATGTAATGGGAAAATGAAAGTGCGTGCTGTATCTCCTTGAGATGCTGCTTCAAGGTCCTCCAGCATACCAGCAGCATATCAAACTCTGTCTGTATTGTCCATTAAGAAAACATCTTGCTTGAACCTCATTGGTTGCCTGGGAGTGGGTAATGGGAGGTAGATAAGAGATGTGAGGAAGTTGAACTAAGGGATTTTGGCGTGCAGTTTTCGATTCTGGCTTTGCATGATTGCAATAAGCTTGATTTCTAATAAAACTATACCTTTCTCAGCAAAATGGGAGTCAAGGATCGTTTCTATTTAGGAGTTTAAGCTGTGGCAGGTCTGATAGAGAGATTTACTCCGAGTTGTTTTTACCCAGGTGAAAATCTCCGTGCAGACGTCTCGCTGCCATGCAGACAGGATCCAACTTCAGATCACAAGCTGCAAACCATATAAGACTTCGGAAACGGAGGCATCTCAGGGGCCCCAAATGTCTAGAACAGACTTGGTCAGGGAAGTCACGAAGACGGCAGAGGAAACGCAACTTGCACAGAATCTGGCCAAAGCAAACCAGGCAAAGGAAGGATTTGACGAAGAGTATCGGCAAACCCAGTGCAGGAGGAGTTTGTATCACCTGCTAGAAGAAATCAAGGATTTGTCTCTCTTGGATGTATCTGCAGACCATGGAGCGTGAGGCCTCCTTTCGCACAGCTTCTGTGCCAACACCCCTCTTCTTGTTTCCTTGTTTTTTTTTAAAGTTGTACATTTATTATTACAATGTTATGTAAAAAATTGGAGATTCTATTTTGCATTCTTAAATCCATTTACAGCCATTATTGGTCATGGAAGATATGCTTTGTCTTTTATAAATTAATTACAGAGAAATATATATAGCTCTTAAGCACCTCAGGGAGTTAAGTGATGATGTAGCAGCTTAGTTCTTTAAAATACTCCTGCTTGGTAATTTTGACTGTGTAGAAACCTACATTAAATGAGCTGTTTCAAATTATTTTAATGGGTAGTGTAGCATTTCTCAACTTCAGCAATTTTTAAGATCATGGATGGCAACTCCCAGAATTCCCTAGCCGGCATGCTGACTCAGGAATTCTGGGAATCAAGAATCTACACATTTTAAAAGTTGCTGGGTTTGAGAAGCACTGAGCTACTATTTAGTTATTTTTAGTTGTTTTGACATGCAGACGCAGTATTTAAATCAGGGGTTTCCAACTTTAGCAACTTTAAGACTTGTGGACTTCAACTCCCAGAATTCCTCAGCCAGCTTTTCTGGGAGTTGAAGTCCACAAGTCTTAAAATTGCCAAGGTTGGAAACCCCTGATTTAAATGACAGGAAATAGTCAGATGTAACTTTAAGAAGAAATTTAGTTCAGTCTTTTTTTTAAATAAATTTGTTTATAGGCAGTGTTTGCTTAGTGTTTGAAGTTTTTGAAGTCTACAGGAAGTAAAACCAAGTAATTTTTGATGTTCAAATATGCTATTTTCTTATGCTGAAAGTTGAATTTGCAAGGTTTCTTTGTAGGAATCCTAATTTCTCTATAAAAGCACAAAAACACCTGGATTTGCACAATATACTTACAAATGGTTAACCTAATCCTCTGGATCTGTAATGGACCATGTACTAAACTCATCGGTTCTCTAAATACACTAAAGTGCTGGTGACTGGTTTGTACCTCAATCTTAGTTGCCATTTATAGTACCATGTCCTTTTGTATTGAGGGTGGAACCCCCACGCTTGCTTATCGGTCACACCTGCCTTTTCCCCTGTAGCACAAGCACTCCTCAAGTGAGTTCACACCAGCTTGGCATAATATGTGAAGCAAGCTTTTATTTCTTAGCAAACATCTGTGAATTGCCAGGCTTAAGATTTAATTCATACGAATTTGTGGAAGCAATACAAATGTCTTCTCCTTCCCCAACTACGATCAAAGCTGGCAGGCATCACTTTCAGTGGAAGGGCCAAAGATTTCATGGCCTTGTCTGAACTTAGCAGCCAGGGGGGGAGGGAGGGGGGGGGAATGGAAAATTAGTGTCTGTGAAACTTGGCTGGTTATAGATGTGGGCATCCACATTGTACAGTTCTTTGTAGTGGTTTTGGAAAATAAAAATGGTTATTCTTTAACCTGTTTTTGTACAATGTGTGCTCACACTCTCTAGACTTGGAAGCCAAATACAAGTAGGGTTGTTTCTTACCTGATTGGAGACTTCCAGGGAATTTCTAGTTTGTAACTTACAGTAAGAAGCAAAACATCCTGAAGTTCTAGAGGACGGTGTTGATAAGAACTTTTGAGTTGCCACCCAAAAAAAGCATAGATGTGTTCATCGGGACTCAAGTCTGAGCCACGGGTGTATTTTCTTTCCCCACATCAGGTATGTAAGATATTTTAAATCCAGTCTCTAGATATAAGTTGGAGCCAGTTTGGGTCTGATATTAAGGTGTCAGAAGGAAAACTTGGGCATAATAGCTGGGTAATCCCTTTTTCTCAGACCCATGAAGGAGACAGTGGCAAACCATTAAGTATTAGTTGTGATCTGCATGAAATGGAATACTGCGGCCAACTTTGGTCCCCATACTACAAAAAAGATGTTGGGACTGGAAAAAGTTCAGAGAAGAGCAAATAAGATGATCAAAGGCCTCGAGACGAAAACATATGAAAAATGGCTGCAGGATTTGGGTTTGGCTAGTCTAAAGAAAAGAAGAATTAGGGGCATATTGTGTAATGGTAGCAATATTCCAGTATTTGAGGGGCTGCCACAAAGAAGAGGGGGTCAAATTATTCTCCAAGTATCAGAGGATAGGACAAGAAACGAAGGATGGAAACTAGTCAAGGAGAGAAGCAACCTGGAATTAAGGAGATACTTCCTAACAGTGAGGACAATTAACCAGTGGAACAGCTTGACTTCAGAAGTCACTGGATATTTTTTTAAAGAAAAGACTAAACCAGGGGTGTCAAACTCACGTCATCACGGTGGGGTTATGTGACATGGCCAGCACATAACACATCCAGCCCTAGGCTGGGAGTTTGACAGCCCTGGAATAGGCAGTCACTTATCTGAAATGGTATAGGCCCTCCTGCTTGAGAAGGGGGCTGGACTGGAAGACCTCCAAAGTCTCTTCCAGCTCTATTTTATTTTTCATTCATCCCTTGCTTCTTTTAGTAAACAAAGATTTTAGTTCACTATTTCTGCATATCCTTCAGTCCATGCCTTTAAATCCAAAAGGTCTGGAGAGCCAATTTCTGGAAGGCAATCATAGCTTTTAACCAGCAATTACAGCATTAGAATATTTTTTTTTCAGGTTGAAACTTATATATTAGTTCTGGTTTCCAAGATTTATTATTTTCATTTCTAGTATAAAATATGGGCAATTACAAATATTTCACAATGGGAAAGTTATAAAAGATTTAAATTGTAGAAATATAGCATCATTTGACTTTTATGTATAGTTTTCATTAACGTTTGCTGTACAAATGTTGCTTTAAAGCTTAAAATGTTCTTCCGCTGAAATGAAAACACTTCTTTAAAACGTTGGCATAACAGAAAACACTAAAAATTATAGTAGCTGCCAAATTAACCAGCCCTGACATCTAAAATTGCAGTAAAAACAAAACTATGCTGAAATTCCCATTCCGCACAACTAAAAAGTCACTTGCTCTGTACCACTTTGCGTGTCCTCGGTAGCTTGAAAAGGAACACCAGCTTGGTCTATGCAGACCTCGTCCTCCTCCTGAGCTGTAAGGGTGCCGTATTCTTCATTTGTAGGCAACTCTAAAGGAAACAAAAAAAGTTGGCTTTAAAATCATGATTTGTGCATCAGCTCTTTTCCTCTAACATACGTAATTACCATGGCAGAGTTTTCCAGCTGGTCAATTGCTTCATGAGTTTTATGAAGTGAAAAAATTCTCTTCAGTAGAAAATGGGAAATAATTATCACTCAGGGATCAACTTGCAGGAAATACTTGATTTTAAAAAAACCAATGCACATACTGATAGGCACATACTGATCATTATAGATTTCCATGGAAGACTATAACCAAATCCTATCAGGCTCTGCCAGAGTTCTCAAAACAGAATCTTGCACTGTTTAAATAACACAGAATATAAGGAACCTTGAGGTGTTTCTCTGTTCCCAGCTTCATCTGTTGGGTGGCTAGAAGTCCCAGTGCCCAGGAAGGACTTGGAGAAAAAAGTTTGGGGCCAAAACTACACGGGATGAAAGCCCAAATAAAATGTCAAGATGACCCATTTGGTGTAGTGAGAAAGGTAATGGATTAAAAACCAGGAGATCTAGTCCCACCTTAGGTGCAAGGCCATTTGGGTGGCTCTAGGCCAGGCACTCTCCCTCAACCCTAGGAAGGGGGCAATGGCAAACCACTTCTGAAAAGCCTTGCCAAGAAAACTGATCTCTGAAAATTGGACACAATTTAACAGAAGAAAAACTTTCAATATAGTTAATTACTTATGTATGTAGTAAATTTCCTCTTCTGCCATATTGAAAACAATTCTTGGAGCGGTGCACCCAACAGCTGGGATGGCTGTATTGGGTGAACACTGGTTTACAGCCCAGGCAGTTTGGGACAGCCCTCCTGCATTTTTGCCAGGAGTTGAGAAATACCGTTGTAAACTGATTTTCTCAGAAAAAAAGGGGGCTGCCTTAATAAACCACAGCAAGGTTGGCTCTGGAATTCTGGGAGTTGAAGTCCACAGGCCGTTAAGGGGCCACAGCTGTCCACCCCTCCATTTAAACCCATACTACAATTGACCAACATGAATCTATGTCTCCCAACAATGCGGATTAAGATGCCTGCATTTTTTTCACTACTGTCGTTACTCTCAATTGTCACCATTAAACAGAGATTGGGTGCCCTTTTTCAAAAATCAAATTAAATGAGAAGCGTCAACTTTCAAGCACAGCCTGAAGTGGTGAATTCTAGCAACACAAACATGAAAATTCCCTCCAGCCATTGTGTTCAAAGTTCTACTTATTTAAATTATTTTATAATAATATTAAAATTACTATTTACTCTTTGGCTTTCAGGAAAGCAGCTTTTGGGGGATGGAAAGAGGAGCCTCTCTAGGTTTAAAATTGTGACTTTTGAGCAGGAACCTGAGCATTCTGGTGTCCCCAAAATGCCTCGGTCTTTCACAGTGGATACTTAGAGCTCACCATCACTCTGAGATTGACTGAGCTGGTTTTTGGCTTGTCTTCTTTCAAGGGCTCTTCGTCTGTTCCTTTCAATTCTCTGCTGTTGCTCCTCGGTCAGGGCAGGACTTAAAGATGGAGAACCAGATTCTTTGGGGGTATTCTGCGTTTCGGGAAGGAAAGCTGGTTCCTCGGTGGCTGGGCTTAGTCTGTTGGTCTCATCTTCACCTGTTTTAGATGGAAGAGTATCACTATTCATCAGTTATCAGCAAGGCCAGTATTTCTCAATCGTAACAACTTGAAACTGTGTGGACTTCAACTCCCACAATTCCCCAGCCAACTGGGAGTTGAAGTCCACACAGCATAAAGTTGTTATGATTGATTGAGAAACATTGATTTAGACCAGGGGTCTCCAACCTTGGCAACTTTAAGACTTGTGGACTTCAACTCCCAAAGCTGGCTGAGGAACTCTGGGAGTGGAAGTCCATAAGTCTTAAAGTTGCCAAGGTTGGAGACCCCTGATCCAGGCAACCTTGACAGTTAAGCTGGACTGCTTCAAAAAAAGTCCTCCAGGGATCACTTCACCCTTAAGCCACATCTCATTGCTAGAAACGCCCAAATCAATATGCCCTCTTTTTAGGATATGTTCATTTTTTAATTTATTGTTCGATCTGCATGGTTGCCCACTTCTCTAAGCAACTTTGGAGCGGCCATACAATAAAGAAACCTAGTTGTAAAACTATTTACATACCGTATTTTTCAGAGTATAAGAAGTACTCCCCACACACATACACACACACAAAAAGTGGGTGGAAATGTCTGCATCTTATACAGCAAATGTTGCCAAAGCCCCGCCCACCTACTTGTCCCCACCCTTCAGTCTCTGCCTCCCAGCAATTTGCCTCCTTGCAGCAAACAGCAAGGTCAGCTTCAGCACAGCAGGATTTAGCACGGGCAGCTGATTGGCGGTTGGATCTGCCTCCTTGAAAACCTCCACATGCCCCTTTTTCAGCCTCCACGCATCCCATTTTTAACCCGTTCCAGGCGCCGATGAACGACAACAATCCCCGCAGCCTGGAACAGCTGATTGGGAGGAATTCGAGGCAGATCCAACCACCAATCAGCTGCTTGTGCTAAATCAGGCTGTGCTGAAGCTGACCACACTGTTTGCTGCAAATTGCTGGGAGGCAGAGGCAGATTTTGTCCCCTCCCCAAAAGCTTGATGCGTCTTATACTTCGGAGCATCTTATAGTCCGAAAAATATGGTAATCTTTGGAATTCGTACCAAAGCAAGCACTGACATCGTTTTTCTTTCCTTGCAACCCGATCCTTTCATAAATAAATGTATGGAACCATCGCACAGAAATCTGATAACTAGACAGACACTGTCGGCAGGAACCATTGCATTAATATGTGTGGCTGCCTGGGGATGTATTGTATTGCTTACAAATACAACCGATAATTTATCGCAGCCACATGTTTTGAAGAAAGAGAATAAAACAACTCCTTATAACAGTCTGAACAGTTTTCAATTGTTTGGAAATCAGTAACTGAATTTCTTCCCAATTCCAGTTTGTCTCTTAACATATACTCTCAAAGTCATTCTTAACCCAGTCTCGAATAAATTTAATGAAATTCACCACTGTCCTAACGATTTCCAATATTTCTACCTATTACAGACATGAGCATTTTACGACCCTGACTCAAGTTAATTGCCCACTCCTGACTTAGCCACATTCACTTAACAACCGTGTTAATAATTTAAAAACTGCAGTGATTTACTCAACAAGTGACTCAAACAAGAAGGCAAGAAAGGTCATAAAATGGGACAAAACTTACTTAACAAATGATTCGTTTAGCAACAGGAATTTGGGGTTCAATTGTGTTTGTAAGTCGAGGACTACCTGTAGTCCTTATGAAGAAAGAAGTAGAGGATTCTTAACCAAAATATGATAGCTGGGATTCTTGGAAAAGTGATTCCAATTTATATGGAAAGCATCTGGTTAGGCTATACTGGAATTGGGATGGTTTTGCTCTTACTCATCAAAACATTCATTAACAAACACACACAGGTGTTTTATTTTCTAGGCTTACTCGATAGAAACTATAGGCAGTCCTCAACTTACAACCATTTGCTTGTTCAAAGTTACAATGGCACTGAAAAAGTGACTTCTGACCGATCCCCGCACTTACAACGGTTGCAGCATGCCAAATAGTCATGTGATCAAATTTTGGACACTTGGCAACTGGCATGTATTTATAGCAACTGCAGGGTCTCAGTCATGTGATGGGCCATTCGGGACCATCCCAGCTGGCTTCCGGCAAGCAAAATCAACAGGAGAAGCTGGATTTGCTTAATGCCCATGATTCACTTAACCACCATGGCAAAAAAAAAAGGTCATAAAATCAGGTGCATCTCATTTAACTCCTGAATTGCTTAGCCACAGAAATCTGTGTTCATAAGTTGAGGTCTACCTATTCTCTTCTTTTAATGACCCCATAATCCCTTGCTGGGTGGAGTCTGCGCAACTGAATAGAGCTGGGTGTTTTAATGGCCAGATGCCCTTCCTGTCCCAAAGTGGAGTTTTGTTCAGCAGATATATTCTCGTAGTGCCCAAGGAGAGAAATATCTGCCTCTACCTAGGATTGAACTTGCAGCCTCCTGATGGTGAGGGGAGAGCTCCGCCTGAGAAGTCTAACTATGCTACATGATTAACATGAGTTCCTCAGTATAAATTCTCATTAATTTTAACTGAGAATTAATAATTTCGAATAACTAAAGACTAAAAATCCTAGACCATTATTATTTATTATTTTATTGTTATTTCTCGGGCATTTACGTTTGACCAAATTCAAACGAAAAGAATCGAGTGCAAATGTTTTAAAGCCATACATGCCTTCATGATTTCTGAAGTCTTCGTTCGAAAGAGGGAGATCAAGTCGAATTCTCTTTAAGGACGCCTAGAGGGGCAAAGGTAACACTGTTTATGCCAGGTCAAGAGGTGTAAGCTTTCCCTTGTTTTATCCACACACCCCAACTAATCCCGTTAACACTCACCTGAACAGGTTTTTTATTTCCCAAGCTCTCTATTGTCTCCACAACGTTTTCAAACTGAAGTTGGGGGAAGAGGCGGTGGGCCCAATGTTCCATGTGCCTTATAAGCGTCTTCAGGTCGGCTGCCTAAACAAAGGAGAATACTTTTGACCAGCGTAGCAACAGGAGACTGGAGGGGCCCCTCCCTTTTAAGTCTTCCCAAAGGCCACGAAGAGCATTAAGCTAGGATGGCATTCAGTCTGGAGGCTGTTGGTCTGAGCTGGCAACTGATGGGAAGGGTTGTTTTCTTTTGATTTTTCTTCTTACTGTCTCTTTGAGGGCCCTGGGATCATTAGATGAGCTGTGTCCTTCCGAGGTAGGTAAAACAAGGACCCAAATTGTTGGAGGCAAGAGGCCAACTCTGTAAACGGCTTAGAGTGGGCTGTGAAGCACTGCGAAGTGGTATATAAATCTAAGGGCTATTCTTGTTGGCAAAAATGGTCCCTCTTCATTTTAATATTTAGTCAAGTAGTGTAAATGCTGTTGCTATACAAGACACGTTTTTTAAATAAATAAATGAGACCTGTCTGTCACTAGGGTTTATTTTGTTGTTTAATTCAAAGGATTTGGTGGAACCTTCTTTATATGTATCGTGTAAAGCAGGGCTCCCAACGGTTGGGCAGTGGCCACTGCTGAGCCGTGAGCCATTCGGAACTGGGCCACCAAAGCGGCAGGGGAGCTCACACACAGACACTCCCATTCCCAGGCCTGGACAAACCGGTTGCTACAGTATGTGATGTTTATACTACACCTACATTCACTGTCCTTGTGAGCTTTTTTTTCCTCCTTAGCAGAAATTTGAGCAATAGCAATAGCAGTTAGACTTATATACCGCTTCATAGGGCTTTCAGCCCTCTCTAAGC